TGAATCACACTGAAGTGAATCACACTGAAGTAAATGACGCTGAAGTGAATCACACAGCAATGAATCACACTGAAGTGAATCACACTGAAGTAAATCACACTGAAGTGAATCACACTGAAGAGAATCACACTGAAGAGAATCACACTGAAGTAAATCACACTGAAGTGAATCACACTGAAGTAAATGACGCTGAAGTGAATCACACAGCAATGAATCACACTGAAGAGAATCACACTGAAGAGAATCACACTGAAGTAAATCACACTGAAGTGAATCACACTGAAGTAAATCACACTGAAGTGAATCACACTGAAGAGAATCACACTGAAGAGAATCACACTGAAGTGAATCACACTGAAGTAAATGACGCTGAAGTGAATCACACAGCAATGAATCACACTGAAATGAATCACACTGAAGTGAATCACACTGAAGTAAATGACGCTGAAGTGAATCACACAGCAATGAATCACACTGAAGTGAATCACACTGAAGTAAATGACGCTGAAGTGAATCACACTGAAGTGAATCACACTGAAGTGAATCACACTGAAGTAAATCACGTTGAAGTGAATCACGCTGAAGTGAATCACACTGAAGTGAGTGCGGTGTATTGTGTGAGTGTGTACCTGTGCAGTTGTGTAGATCTGCAGTGACTGCGTATCCAGGGCTGCAGACGCAGCTGTACGTCCCCGGCTGATTCATGCAGTCATGTTCACAGAGTCTGTTACCCTGAGTGCATTCATCCACATCTGAGCAAACCACAGACACGAGCATCATCATCATCAATCATCATCACAGCATTCAGACTGCATGGATCGGGATCTCAGACTGACCGTAGCAGGAGTGTCCGTCTCCGCTGTATCCCTGAAGACACTGACAGAAATACGAGCCGATGATGTTCCCACAGCGAGCGTTAACGTCACAGCCGTGATCCCCGGACAAACACTCGTTTATGTCTGCATGCACACATCAGTGATTGACTTATTTTAGCATCACTAAGATACTATTATAGTTTTATTAATAGTTTCAATTAGTTTTTTTTATTTTTGTTAAAGTTTTAGTAATTTTGCTGTGTTTTGTGATTTTTATTCGTTTTTTTTAAATATGTAGTTTATGTTAATTTTATTTTATTTGAGTTTTTTCAATATTTTATTTCATGTTAACATTTATTTTATTTCAAGTTACTTTTTTTTTTTTTTTTTGTACAGTAGTTAACTATAATGATATAGAAGATATTTGAAGTGGCTTTGTGAATACCATGGTAAAGACACAGTATTTTGTTGTAAAAGGCATTATAGCAAGGATTCCCAAATGTTTTTGTCAGTCGATCCCCTTTGACTTAAAATATTTTAGTTTAAATCTTTTTATTATTGCTTTTCAACATACA